TGTGGGGTACAATGTATCTCTCCAGCCTGATATTATACGAACTATGCAGAGCAGTGTGTAACCATGTCAGAATAAAGAGAACCTGTCATGGCTGGGCTTATATAAGAAACTTAATATGTTTCTTAAAGTGGTACACACGCCTCAACTTTGTTCTAGTTTTCGGAGGAGGAGGGGAGAGAGAGAACCTGTGTCCGCTCTTTACAGTATTAACCCTTCCTGTGCTGTCTAAAGCTGAAGGAGTAATGTTTAGAGCTCCTCTGTAAAGTGTTCGGAACTGGTGGAAGTTTAATATTTAATCCTCTTATTTCAAATTTGAAAGGCTCAGTCCACTTTTTGAAAACATTAAGATGTCCACACGGACTGATAAAAGAAAGGAAACGTGCATTTATTAAAGAAGAACTCCGGGGAAAGGTTCTATTACTCTTACATTGGGGCTACCCCTAGCACTGCAAGAGTTAAATGCTTGTTTTGGTCTTGGGAGGAAAAATAAGAAAGTTATACTTTTATCCTTGGGGGTGGCTTGCTCTTAGACCGCTCCCTGGAGCCTCCCCCCTTCTCCCTTGCAGCAGTCATTATGTTCTATACACTATACACCGGCCATCTGTGACATCGGGTGATGAGGGAGCACGAAGCCGGCTTTCTGGCCAATCAGAAAGCCGGGGGCATGTAATGACATGCTGCCCGGCTTCCTGATTGGCCAGGAAGCCGGCTCCATGCTCCTTCATCACAAGTGACGAGTAGTGATGGGCTCGGGCGTGTTCGCAGCTCCACGTGCCGAGCCCACCAGGAAGCTAGCAGTGCCAAATCACAGGCACTGAGACATTTCCCGATCTCTGCAGCTGCGGACAGGGATAATGTCTCAGTACCTGTGATTGGCGCTGTCAGCTTCCTGGCGGGCTCGGCACGTGGAGCTGCGAACACGCCCGAGCCCATCACTAGTGACGAGGGAACATGGAGCTGGCTTCCTAGCCAATCAGGAAGCCGGGCAGCGTGTAATGACTCGCTCCCTGGCTTCCTGATACAGGAAGTATGGGGCCAGGCATCGGAGCATTTGCGCAAGTACGAATACTCGGCACCGATACTAGTATCGGTATCGGTGCATCCCTAATTTGAAGTCAACGAGTTAGCGGCCATTGATCAAGGCTTGCTAATACCTACTATTGAAGGGCTCGGGTGTGTTCGCAGCTCCACGTACCGAGCCCGCCAGGAAGCTGACAGCGCCAATCACAGGCCTCGAGACATTTCCCGATCTCTGCAGCTGCGTACAGGGAAAATGTCTCAGTACCTGTGATTGGCGCTGCGCGCTGTCAGCTTCCTGGCGGGCTCGGCACGTGGATCTGCGAACATGCCCGAGCCCATCACTACTTACAATCCCGGTAAAGCAGGACACAAACTAGAAGATGGAAGAGCAGCACAGGGAGCCAATCAATTCTGCTGCAGTTATGTGCCAGCAATTAACATGCTGATAGAAAGAGAGATGAGATCATCTATTTGCTGCTTCTCCTCTCAATGTCCAGGCACAGGCTGGAGGTGGGACAAGACCTGTAATTGTTACTTAAATTAAAAATAAGGTCTGTCTTACCAAGCAAGGCTGTGCTCTGTTGTAGAGCTGTGTAAATCTCAGGACTGGATGGGAAGAAATAAAAACACATTGGCAGGAGGCAAAAAGCTTCCTTATATGTTTTTCTTCTGCGTATTTCATTATTTTCAGCATTAACCTTACCATCTTGCCTTGAATTGTATTGTGATTGTAATGTCTTCCTTATATTGTAAAGCGCTGCACAAACTGTTGGCGCTATATACATCCTGTATAATAATAATAATAATAATTAACAATTTACTTTTTTTTTCTAAATGTTCCCTAAACATGTCCTTAGGAACTTCTATCAGTAATTACAGATACTTGTGTAACTATGTAACTTAACTTTTACAATAAGTATTCATAGCCATTTAACATATGACTACAAAGAAAACTATTTTCTGGTTTATGCCCAGCATTGAGAAATAAATGATTTGCATTACCATGACTGACTAAAATAATACACAGGGTTATTCACAAAAGGGTGAAGAGTTCGAAGAAAGGAGAAGTGAACAATCTAGGACAACATAGCTGAACTAGAAACTGAACTGAATTAGAGAATTTTTCCAAATCGGCTATTTTGGCCTAGATTGTTCACTTCTCCTGCCTTCTCCAAACTCTTCACACTTTTGTGAATAACCCTGGCAATTACCAAACTAATCCAGATTAAAAAAAGCAAAACAATAATAATATTATTTTCCTTTGGCATGCTCTTCAGAGAACAGGAATAAAATAAAAAATGTGTATGTTTGTAATTCTGCTCTGTACAAATGAATAATAGTATTCTGCATTTTCATTTCGATTTCTAAACCTTTCCATGAACCTATTTGTCTCAAAGAACACGGTCAGAGATTATTTATGCAACCAGATCATTAATAGAGGCTTATCAGGCCTTTAGTTTTGGCCAGGCTAAACCTACTTCTTAGATTGCTCTACTTGGCAATGACCATGCAGTAATACACACACAATCTTCAGTGCTCTTCCCCTCACCCTCCAGCATTTTCGATGAATTCTAGGCTAAACTGCCACAACAGGGCTACACGGTGTCACAATAAATACTCTTAATTTCAGTCATGAAATTAAAAAAAACAAAAACAAAAAGAAAAAACTGCAATAATGTAAAAAAAAAAAAGACAACAAAAAGGTAATGAGGTAGGTAATGAGTTGTGTGGCAGTGCATGGCAATGCCACATAGTAGCTTGCCAATTTTGGCCACGAGGGGCTGAGAGGGTCCAGAATGTAAACAATTTTATAAGGAAGAAGCTGGCTTTTCAGATTCTTCCAGGTTTTCCTAATTGTAGCTGGGATCTGGAGTTCTGGAGATTTCTAAAGGTGCCCATACACCTTACGATTATCGGACTAAACTTTTCGTCCGATGATCGAACAGTCGTACGATTTTCGTACGACGGCCCCATCCTGCCCCGATTATCGCAGTGTTCAATCAGCGGTAGTTAGAAAAAAACACCTGGACGACTTGCGGTAATTGACCGCAATTATTTTCGTTTGCGCATGCGCAGTGTTAATCGTACGACATTTGACGGACGGAAACGCCACCAACCATGCGAACATCGTACGATCAAAGTTTTCAAACATGCTTGACCGTCAAAAGTCGTACGATTGTACAGTACTATCGGTCGGGCACTCTATTCACACGTTACGATTGTCGTACGAAAAGTCGATCGCATACGATTATCGTACGATAATCGTAAGGTGTATG